CCGGCACAGCAGAACAGCTGATGTTTGGAAAAAGGAAAATAGCAATTTAGCAAGCAAGTTTGCCAGGTAAGGAGTGAGTGGGCAGGGAGGGTTCCCGCAGGCCATGTAGGCAGTGCAGCCTTGTGTTTCTGCGCAGCCTGGATTAATTGCTTTGGGGGATGCTCCGGGGGTTATATTTCTCTGTGGCCCATCAAAATTTTCTAGTGTCTCACCAATGGGCCGTGGACCATCAGTTGACAACTACTGGTTTAGAAGACTTCTAGATACTACTACATTTCTCATCATAACATTTAACTGGGTGAAATAGAGCGCCATAGGGCAACAATTTTTGAATCAAAGTACATAAAATGGGCTATTTTACAGAATTTGTCCAAATCTAGGACCTCTGTCTCCTGTGGAATTGAAATCTGGTCAAATGTAAAACATTTTATGACATAAAATTATCATAAAACAGTTTATGACATAATTGATATAATACAAAATGCCTTAAAATCTTTCCTGTGCCATACAGTTCAACATGGGCTATTTTACATCTTCGAATGTATTCCAACTTTTCCTGTGAAGTCAATACGTTAGATGTTCTGTCATTGTTGAAAGCATTCAGAAATCTGGTTAAGAAATATCTCTAAATGACTGACCCCGTGGAACATTGGTTGTCTAGTAATGAACAAAAGACCACTGGCTGGATTTATAAGGCATGCTAAGGTGCAAAGTATAATGTACAATCTACAATAACTGGCATCGCACAGCACACAGAGCCAAATCCTAAGAAACTACGTACATACATACATACAAATACACATTTCTTTTTAAAAATTTTAATTAACTGATTTTCAGTATTCTACTTGTTATCTATAACCGAATAAAGGTTTGTTTGTTTGATTGATTGTTATGTGATGTGTGTAACATGGCTTTGATCTTCAAGTCCATGAATTGCCCCGTGCATCCATGGTATCTTTTAGGATTTAAAAGTAGTAATCACCAAGACTATGTGGTATAGCTCTCTCCTTAGCCTCCAACATATGTTCCCAAGGAGGAAAGAGTCATGATAAAGCAGAGCAAAGGCTGTCTAACTCAGAATAGTGAATAGTTGATAAGAGACAGAAAGTAAAATAAGATCTGAAGCATCGGTGGGATTCAATTTTTTTAACAACGGGTGCTGTGGGTGTGGTTTAGTTAGTGGCTGTGGCCAACTCAAAGTCAGTCATATCAAGGGTTGCTTCTCCTCGCCTGACTTCTCTTTACAGTGGGGATGCTACAATGGTCATAAGTGTGAAAAATGAACATGTCACTTTTTTCAGTGCCATTGTAACTTTGAATGGTCACTAAATGAACTGTTGTAAGTCAAGGATTACCTATACAAAAATACAAAAAGCTTCTTTGCTTGCAAAAAGCTGCCCTAAATACCAGTCATTAGATTAAAAATACCTGCAAGCCAGAGATACAAATCCAGCAGGGTGCCAAAGCACCTTGAGGAATTAAAATAGTTTAAAAAGTGTCAAGCTTGCATCCGGCCTCTTGAAAGTACACCCCAAAAGAAGAGTGCCAGATACAACTAAAGCAATGAAGGAAGACCCCCTCCCCAGATAGAAAAAGGAACCTTGAGGCAGGAAAAAATACAAACACAATACAAATAATTAAATCACAACAGTAGCTATTGCTTGTTAAACCAATTGCCAGAACAAATAGACACAGGAACTAGCCAGATTTCTCAACCCAGTTTCTTTTCAGGAACAGAGATTAGCCTTTTTCCTTCCAAACAAAGCTGAATAAGGAAAATTATCCCATCAATAAACACAGGATTAAACATCACCAAAGTCAGAATTAAACTTCACCAAAAACCAGTTTTAGATCAAAACTCAGAAAGGGTATGTAAACTCACGTTTGAATGTCAATCTTTCTAGCTAGTTCAGTTTACTGGCATTGCACCTCATACAATGAAATCAAAGATCATCTTCAGTGCAGATCATGACCATGAAAATAAATACAAACACACATCCTTTACACTCCACATATTGAACAAAAAAAACCTGACATCGCACCAACACTGTACTATTCAGTAGAATTCAAAAGAGCTACTGCCCTGGGATAGAAGCTGTTTTTCAGCCTATTTGTTCTTGTTTTTATTATTCTGTACTGTCTGCTAGATGGTAATAGTTCAAAAGAAGGGTTTCCAGAATGAGATGGATCTTTGAGGATGTTTTGAACTTTTTTAAGGCAGAGGGAGCTATAAAGTTCTTCCAAAAAGGGGAGAGGGCAACCAATGATCTTCTGAGCAATCCTCTGGAGTGCTTTCCTATCTGCCACTGTGCAATTGGCAAACCATACAGAGGTGCAGTAAGTTAAGATACTCTCTATGGTACAGCAGTAGAAGGTCACCAGGAGTTTTTCATTCAGTTGGTGTTTTCTGAAAAGTCTCAGGTAGCATAATCTCTGCTGGGCCCTTTTGACCAATGCTGCAACGTGAGCACCCAGGTCAGATCCTCTTTTATGGTAACACCCCAGAAACTGGCCACTTGCTCCACTTGCTCCATTGATAAGCAGGGGCTGGATGTCTGATCTCTTCCTTCTATAGGCCACTATAAGCTCCTTGGTCTTATTGGTGTTGAGGACCAAATTATTGTCTCCACACCACGAAAGCAACCGGTCCACCTCATCTTGGTAGGCAGACTCATCCCCCCTGGGGTTGTATCGTCTGCAAATTTAGTAATAGTATTACTAGCATGAATGGGAATGCAATTATGCACATAGAGAGTATAGAGTAAGGGACTCAACACACAACCCTGTGGTGTACCAGTGTTAAGAATAAGGGCTGAAGAGGTTATGATTATCTAATCTGACCCTCTGTGAGCAGCCAGACAGGAAATCCATAAACCAAAGGCAGATTGAATAAGAAAGTCCAAGGTCCAGAAGGTCTATGTGGAAGAATTGTGTTAAATACAGAACTAAAATCTACAAAAAGCATCCTCACATAGCGCCCCTCCCCCCCGTTCTAGATGAAACAGAGGAGTGTGAAGAGTGATGACTATAGCGTCCTCTGTAGATTTATTTCTTCTGTATGCAAACTGATGTTTATCAAATGTATGCAGAAGACCAGAAATAATGTGCTGGCAGACCAATTTCTCAAAGCACTTCATGATGATAGGAGTGAGTGCCACTGGTCTGTAATCATTGAGGTAATTGATAGGGAACTTCTTTGGCAGTGGAACAATGGTGGAAGCCTTCAAACAAGATGGAACAGGGGACTGGGATAAAGACTGATTGAAGATCCTGGTAAAGACTCCAGCCAACTGATCAGCACAGACTTTAAGCACTTGGCCAGAGATACTGTCAGGACTGGCAGCTTTTCTAGGGTCCACAAGCCCTCAGAATGCTCCTCACCTCCTGTTCCTCCACAGTGAGGTGGGGATTACAATTGGCTGTGGTTGTATTTTATCTGATGTCTCCACTTCAAAGCGAGCAAAGAAATGATTCAGTTCCTCTGCCAATGAAGCATCTCCTTCAGCAGAGGAGCACACCGCAACTGTTCTGTTGCAGTGCCTCATGTTATTGCTATAAAAATTATCCTCAAGCTTCCTCTTATAATCAGTCTTGGCCTTCCAAATACCTTTCTTCAGATTAGCTCTGGCAACACTGTATCTTGCCCCATCACAGGACCTAAAGGCCTTGGTCCTGTCATGCAAGAGGCACTGGACTTCTTTAGTCATCCAGGGTTTCTGACTGGGATAGATCCCGATACATTTATCCACAGTGATAGTATCTGTGCAATGTTTGATATAGCACAGAACAGTTGCAGTGTGCTCCTCTAGGTCAGGGTGGTAAAAGATGTCCCAATTTGTGTTCTCAAAACAATCCTGCGGTTGTTGGGAAGCATCTTCTGGTCAAGATTTCACAGTCTTTATTATAGGCAGAGCCTGTATCCTATGCCGGTGCTAAAAGCAGTGACAGGAAACTAAACCAAACCAAACCAAACCAAACTAAACAACTAAACTAAAGGGGTTCTGTAGAACCGGTCAGAACTGGTAGAATCCCACCCCGATCTGAAGGAAGATTTGAGTTCTGAACACATAAAGGCGGATGAAGTACTTACAATATCTAGTTGCACATCTGTCATTGCTTTCCATGTTGTAGTATGAGAAATAAAGACTAACTGTATTTTTTAAAATTAAACCCAAAATGTAAAATGCAATATATTGGAGAAAGAAGAACACAAACTTTCTACCGATAATGTTGTTCTTAATTAGTATGCTGGACCATATATCTCTTTCTTAGCTTCTTGCTGGCAAGTATTTAAGCATGTTTTCCTCATCATGACTATATCTCCTTTGCTGCTGACATACCAAAACCTGGAAAGTTAACTCTAGATTCTAGAAAGTTGGTTCTTAGAATTTCTAAATATAGATAATCCTCAACTTACAACAGTTCATTCAGTGACCTTCAAAGTTACAACATCACTGAAAAAAGTGACTTATGACCATTTTTAATACTTATGACCATTGCAGCATCCCCACAGTTATTCTGATCAAAATTCAGACACTTGGCAACTGACTCATATTATGATTTTTGCAGTGTCCTGAGTTCATGTGATCTCCTTTTTGAGACCTTATGAGAAGCAAAGTAAATGAGGAAGCCAGATTCACTTAACAACCATACTACTATATTAACAACTGGAGTGATTCACTTAACAACTGTGGCAACGAAGGTTGTAAAATGGGGCAAAACTCACTTAACAAATGCCTTACTTAGCAACATAAATTTTGAGCTCAATTGTGGTCATAAGTTGAGGACTACCTATGTAGTAGTTATGATTAGTTTCTCATAGACAGTGATTCTCAGAAGATATTTTTTATATACAAAAATATAAAAAGATACAGATTTTTTTCATGTAATTTGAATATATTAAACAAATGCAAAAAAATTGTTTGAATACTTAACTCCCTTCCCTAAAAGGTTACTTTGTAATACTAAAAACAAAAAATAAAATGTAAAATTTTTCTTACCAACAATCATATGGTTGCAAACATCACAGAAAGTAGGTTTTTTGAAAATGTGTTCCTCAAAAATGTGAGTCTTGTCTTCTGGCTGGAGATGGGTTTTGGTTGGAGTGGAGTTTTGATTTTCCAAATTAGGGAGCTGCCCCATTTTAGAGGTGATTTCTGATAGCAAATCTACTTGCAACTTCGTGCCACAATTTGTTTGTTGAAAAAAGTTGTCTGCACTTTTACTCCTCAAACTGTTGGTCTTGAAAGAAAGTGATTGTTTCAATTTCTGGAGCTGAAAAAAATTAACAATAGCATATTTTTCCATTGATATTTAGTGTTCTGGCAATTTCAAATAACTAGAATTTTAAAACAGCCGAGATATTTTCAATAACAATCACAAACCTGCAATATAGCCAATCTTGCTTGTTTATTTATTTAAATATGAGCTTTCAGATGCCATAAAATAGTAATACAAGCTGGGTAAAAGAAGTTAACATCAATCAGAAAACTCTATATACTTTCAGAGCCTATTCTAACCAATATGCTATTTATACAATTATATATCAGCATGTCATTTATCTTAGACCAGGAGTCACCAACCTTTTGAACCTCAGAGACCACCAAACAAATACTTTAAAAACCCAAGGACCATTAATATGAATTTTAAAAAAAAGCTAATATATTTAATATAAATTTTTTATGTTAAATATGTGTGTGTGTGTGTGTGTGTGTGTGTGTGTGTGTGTGGTATTCAGCTTGATCTGAGTGTATTATTTCATTCAAGACTTTTTTCATTCTTTCTGCAATTATTATCATCAATATTTTATAATCAGCATCTAGCAGTGAGATTGGCCTATAATTCTGAACTTGAGAGTGGTCGGTACCTTCTTTCGGTATTCGTGTTATGTAGGTTTGTCCCCATGATTTTGGTAATTTTACTTTTAGTAATGCTTCATTGTATACCTCTTACAATAATGGTTCCATGGTTTCACGCACAGCCTTATAAAAATCCCCTGGAATCCCATCTGGGCCTGGGCTTTATTGATTTTCTGTTTGTGGATTGCTTTTTCCAATTCTGTCTGTGTTCTTTTCTTATCTAGCAATTCCTTGTTCTCTTCTGTAATTGGTGGCAAACTTTTCTCTTTAAGGCAGGCTTGTCCAACCCGCGGCCCACGGGCCACATGCGGCCCAGGTCGCCTCGTAATGCGGCCCAGTGCCCACCCCAACCATCGTGCCACAGCCAGCGAGAAGGAGGAGGAGAGGCAGGCGCGAGGCGGAGCTAGGCGAGCGCCAGGCCAAGGAGCAAGAGAAAAGGCGGGCGCCATCAGAGCGCCACCTCCTGCTGTTACCGCTGCCGCTTCTGCCCCTGCCACCGCTGCTGCTTCTGCCCCCGCCGCCGCTGCTGCCCCCGCCGCCGCCGCTTCTGCCCCGCTGCCACCCCTGCTGCTTCTGCCCCCGCCGCCACCCCCGCCACTTCTGCCCTGCCACTGCTGCTGCTTCTGCCCCCACCGCTGTTGCTGCCCCCGCCGCCGCCGCTTCTTCTCCTGCCACC